CCCTTTCATCGTGTCCTTGGGTAACACACTGAGCTCCACACGTTTTATTTAAGCCTCTAATGTCTGGTTTTACTATAGTAGGAAAAAACAACTAAGAGTAGAAACACAAACAGCATTAACAAACCTGGAATATGGAATATAAAACATTGTCAGGAAGTTTGTCACAAGGAAACAGATTTAAAGTAGATTTAATGTAATCAGATTAATCTAATAAGGTCATATTTGTTTTACTCCAGACAGTTTCTAATCCAGCTTTTCCTCCCTAAATGTTGCTTTAACAAGGCAGCAGGTCCAGAAAGAAGAACTCAGCATCACGACTCCTGTGACCTTCGCTGGTCCTGATGTGATGGTGACAAACGAAGCTGCTGCTGATCTCCTCTTCTCTATGGTTGGTCAATCCAGCCACCCGCCAACACTGGCAGCTCATCTCTGGCTGTCAGCTGAATCGCTGCTGTCAGATACTGAATCCTTTCCTATCATTGGTTTCATTTCCAGCCAATCATCTTAGAGGTGATTAGGAGGCTCGTTAGCAGGGAGGGAACGTATGATGAAGGTCAAGGCTGCTAAAGCTCAATATCTTCCTTCTTTGCTGTGTGAAAAAAGTGAACTTTGACCTCACAACAGTATGAGCTGACTGTGCTGGAAAAAGGAGTTAAACACTCATTGATCTGATGATGACAAGACTTGCTGTGGAGAGGGACAACAGATGCTCAGTCTTTGTTGTATAGGAGCTAAAGATCATGGTCTCCCTGAGAAGAATGTGGCCTTGATGATCAGGAAAGACCAACAGGTAGTTAATTATCTTCTGTTCATCCAGGAAGAATTATCCATCGTCATCATACAGCTCCATCTTGATCAATTCAAATATCATTGAACAGTTCATTCATTCTAGTCATTCGATTCAACAAGTGAAACACAGATATAGATTCATGACACACAGAGTGATGTAGTTCAGTTGTTTATTTCTAGTTTGGATGATTATGGATTATCGTTAATGAAACTCCCAAATTCAGTTCCTCAATCATCAGAAAGATGCTGATTTGACAGTTGTCCAGCAGACAGTCATTGATACCCTCCACAAGGAGGGGAAGCTATTGCTAAAGAAGCTGGCTGTTCACAGGTTGCTGGATCCATTCATATTAATGGAAAGTTGAGTGGAAGAAAAATAAGATGCACAGACAACAGGAAAACCTGCAGCCTTGAGAGGATTATGAGGCTTCACTGCAGCAGGAGTTGGTGCTTGAAGAGCCTCCAGACAGACGTGTCAGGACATGGGCTACAACAGTTGTTACATTTCTGGTGTTAAACCCAGAGGGCCAAAAATACCAGGTTTAATGATCAAGCTATCACTGTGGTTGATTGGCCACCAAACGCTCCTGATCTGAACTCTATAGAGCGCAGCTCAGCAAACTTATCAAAGCAAAGAGACATTTAGTCCCCTTTACTCCTAATCAGAAGAATCTGTCATCACCCTTTGAAAAATAAGTAATTTAACTTAATTATTCTCTACTAACACTAATCTGTTGAAGATCCTCAGGGAAACTCTCTCTTTCCTTGTTTAGCTTTTTGTTCTACAACTAAATTAGTTTATGTTTTCGAAATCCATGTTTTAAATGTAACATTCCATTATGTCCAGACATAAACATTGATTTTATTCGTCTGATGTATTATTTTAATTTTCTGAGAAACTGAATGTTGGGTTTTCAAAGATTATGGATCAACTATAAAAAATAATCATGAAAGTGAACAGAAACAAATGCTTGAAATATGAGTATATTATATTACTATGTGTAATAAATCTATGTAATATATGAGTTTTTAACTGAATTAGTGCAATGAATAAAGTTTTAGATTGAACACTAATTTATTGTATTTTGAAGGGGTTTTGTTACTTCATACTTAAAACTAAACATAACTATCACCAGCAGGTGGCGCTGTTTAATCAGTAAAACCACCCTCCTCAACAAACAATTCATTCAACTAAAGTAAAAACCTTTGAGGTTTTTTACTGAAGCTGAAAATAATTATGTCAAAGAATGTGAAAAAATAAATGTTTACTTTAGTTTTGCACATAAAGATAAAAACTGCATCAATATTTTACATAATAACAAGACTGATAAAAGGCCAATAACAACACAGTTTATTGAATCCAATCTTGGTCTTATTATTTGTCATTTCTTTTTCCAGGAAGCCGCTCTTCATCGTCTTCCAGCTTATCACTGTAAAAAGTAAGTACAGCCCAAATTTCCATTAAGGGCTGTACTTACTTTTGTTGCCAGTAGTTTAGACATTACTGGCTGTGTGTTTAGTTATTTTGAGGAGTCAGCAAATTTACTCTTTTATACAAGCTGCACACTGACTACTTTACATTGTATCAAAGGGTCATATCTTCCTTTGAGGGGTGTACTAACTTATGAAAGATCCTGTAAATATTGGCATTAGCTTGTAGTGCTAACAGTGATTAGCCAGGTCATTAATCTCAACTTGCAGGTCTGTTGATTTTCTGCCAAGAAACTAGAACCTGTTAGGCTGGATTTGAGGTTTTTCTAGATCCAGCTTCCAACTTCTGAGGTAAATTAAAACCAGGACAAGTAGCAACTGGCTCTTATCCTCGGTTCTCTGTTTTTGTGAAGCAAAGATTAGTCTGCTTGAATTCCTCATCTTTTAGCCTGTTTGGGCTGATCAGCTCTTCATTGCAGCTCATTTGCTTCTTGTTTATCTTGTAAATAGTTGATTCTAAGTTTTTTTATTAAAGGAGCCCAAGCACCACCCGTGGTTTTTACACCACAGTTGGAGGTTTATGGTATTTGTTCATTTTGACTATTTTTGACCTATTGACTCCAAGCTCATTAACCTTTGCTGGTCCTGATTTATTCTTCAAGAACTATAATTAAATAGAAGTTTTCTCCTGCCTTCTCATTAATGATTGAAATTAATGATCAGGGGCAACACTACGATGTGTGTCAGAGAGTAGCTGCTTATTGCTAAGATGTAGCTGTTTTTAAAACCTAGTTCAGTTTGTTCACAGAGTTCTGCTTCACAATAAATGTCACAATATTAGGAACGCTTCAGTAAAGTATTTGAGTCAGTTTTTGGTAATCTTGTCCTTTTCATACAGTCTGTAATCTTTACAGAAGTGAATTAAACACCATGTTGGTCTGGGGTGATATGATGTTAATAGATGGAGAGGAGAGCTGAAGATCTGCTAAAGCTGAGAGATCACGATATCATCTATACACTCATCAGCCTCCTTAATAATATTTCTCTGTTCAGTTGGTTGCAAATATAAAAACTGGAACCCACCAATCACATGGCAGCACCTCATTTAGGTGTTTAGATGTGGTGAAGTTCAAACTGTGCATCAGAACAGGGAAGAAAGGCGATTTCAGTGACTCTGATCGTAACATATTTGTCGTTGCCAGCCGGGCTGGTCTGAGTATTTTAGAAGCTGCTGATCTACTGGGATTTTCTCCTGGGCTGTTAGAGATGTAACACACACACATAGAGATGTAGAGTTTTCAGAGAATGGGAAGATTAGTTTGAGATGATAGTAGACCAGTGGCACCAGTAGCTTAAATACCCACATGTTACCATCTCTGGATACACAGCAGGTCATTCCTTGAAGCAGAATGGCTACAGCAGCAGAAGAAAATAATGGACTGGAAAGGGTTTCCTGTTCTAAAGACGATCAATTTCAGCTGAGAATTTGGTGTCAACGTGAACCATAGATCCATCCTGTCTTAAATTAAGTCCCGGCTGCTGCTGAGCAACCTTTAAACACCACAGCCTACCTGAGTATTGTTGCTGACCATCTCCATCCCTTTATGACCATAGTGGACCATCTTCTGATGGTTCCTTCCAGCAGGATAACAGCTCCCATCATTTCAAACTGGTTTCAGACAGTCCTTTAGAAAGAAATGAAGACTGGCATATTTTAGATGATGTGTTGCTGGAACATTATTAAGTTCATATGTGAAGAGTTTTTATTTTACTAACAAATGAAACTAATGCTGCCGTTTTTATCTAAATTTATCTTCGTTTTTGTTGCTGATTTGACCCACATGCTGAACACACTCAGGAGAAAGTTTTTAAATGTTGAATGTAACAGGTCTGATAAGTGAATCAGGAATCCAGGACCAGGAACAGAGAATGGGTCTTTAACGGCACATGGAAGAAGAAGTAATGATGCTGGAGGATACTGGAAGTTTGAGAAGGGAGACTGTGCTTACAGGGATGAGATGATGAACCACCAGGGAGGAAGGAGTAGGGTCTGGGAGCTGATGATTAGCCAGAGGTGGGTGAAGTTGATCCAGGTGGAAGAAGAGCTTGGCACAGTGTGAACACGGTGGAGGGTGAGCAGGGTTCGATTACAGGTGCGTCTAAGGAAGGAGGAGTCAGTTCGCTGCCAGCCGGAAGCTTCAGTCCAAAGGCGACAACTTGAATTCATGCAGGTAAGTTCAGGAACCAGGAAATGAACTGGAACAGAACCAGAACACAGGGGCAACCTGAGGGAGAACACACACAAGGTGAGATAATCCTTCTGACAAGGACTCAGGAGCAACAGAGGACTAGAGCTTTAGCACAGTTGGTTAACACTCAGGCATCAAAGTGCTGGCAGCAGACTCCTCTTAACGCTCTCCTGATGAGGCTTGATGAGCAACACCTATTATATACTCTGGTGCAGACACATTGGTTTTATTATCCTCCTTTATCATTAGTTTTATACATGAACAGTTTTGTAGGAAGAGTTCACTTTACTTGAGTTTTGTTGTTCTAATCTAAACTGTACTTCAAGTATTAAATTTCAATTATATTTGACACAAGTTAGAAAAATTTGGTCAAACTGATAAAGAAAGTTTCTAAAATGTTCTACGGCACAATTGTTCTGTCATATTTATCTTTAGGAGCAATATGTTTTTACATATAGGAAAAATTTAATAATCTTTATTATTTAAGGGTCTTTATTCATCAGTAACTCGACACAAAGAAGGGCAGGACAGTAAATGGCCCGGGGCAGGGAATTGAACCTGGGACCGCTGCATGGAGGACTGTAGCCTCTGCATATGGTGACCTCGCTCTACCACTGAGCCACCTGGTGATCCTAGCTAATACATCTAAGATCAGGATTTCACTGTGAAGATCTAGGGCTGTTATTGTTGCCATATCACTCTCTTACTTAGAGTTGTTATTGTGTTACAGAACATTTTCCTGTTGGTTAGTTGCTTAGTCATTGCTTAGTTTAAAAAGGTTCTTTATCCTAATGATTTACCTTTAAAATACATTTTCATTTATTT